TACGATAGTCGCGAACGATGCAATTTTATTTTTCACCATTTTGGTTTTGTTTCTTAAATTTCATGCCGGTCGACCGGTCAGCCGGTCAGGCCAATCCCATGTTCTACCTTCCAATCGGAATCAAGAACGCCATGCTTTCTTACTAAAATAGAGAACAGATCACAAGGTTTTAAGAGAGAGATAGTGGTTATGTGCATGGAAGAACAAGAGAACTCGACTAATCAACGACAATCAGGGGCACCCAACGGTAATGAAGCTCAATACAATGCTGTAAACAGGTTAGAGTTTTAACATCACGGCCCATTCAGAGACGGAAATATTCCCAATCATTAGATCAAAACTAAAAATCGCCGGCCTTGTACAACTTCTAAGAAGTTAAGCTTCATCAAAAATGAAAACACGCAGCATCAGGAGCCATAATCGGGGACGGAGACTGTAAGCGCGCGCCATTTCTAGTATTTGGGCTGTCCCTATGATATGGGGCAATTTTTCTATTTTTAGAACAAATTGCGCCATCGCCTGCGGCACACGCGCGTACATGCTGCGAGAATTTTTGCGGATGTCGCGCGGGGGAAATAGCGTCCGAAATTCCCGAAATTGTTCATGCTATCAGTGTGCTTTTGGCCCACAACTCAACACGTTTATGTTTGTTGGAATTTTGCTTAAGTATTTCGTCGTAAGCTGCTCCAGTTTGAGTGAACTAAGCCAGTCTCGAATTTAGGTATGCCCCGCTTTAAGCTTATATATATATCAGTGTCCAAGTTGTGTTCCGCTGCTTCTTTTTCAAGAGCTGTACATTACTCCGCTCTAAATTTCGCATGTGGTGAAGATTAACAGCTTTTCCATAACACAGCAAAAAACTAGCTGGATATATTTAGTAACTATAGTAGCGTTTCAGGACTTCAAAGTTTCCCTCCTCTTGCCTCGCGCTTGCGAGGAATTCGCCAGTCTATCACGACCGAAATGTAAAACAAAATAATTGCAAGTTTGAGTTTCGCCTGAATTGTAACAACGCTTGATGTTTCATCAAGGCCCAATAACTTTACGTCCGTAGATACTGCTCAGTTTTGTTGGTGTAAAAATCCAGTAAATTGTCTGTTGTCGATGAATAATAACAGCGCCCGCCGATGCGTGTTTAGTACAGTGAGTAAACACGACAAATTGTACTTCCGCCGCACTTTCGCGTGAAAACGTGCATCGAACTCACACAATGTCGCTATAGTTTTTAAATATGTTCAAGACTGATAAATATTTGAGAACATATTAAAATCTAAGCTGAAAATGATATGTCTATTTTATCGTCGCAGTGTAAAATTTCCCTGTGTTGAAGAAACACACATGATATTAGTAGCCTTTTTGCGTTCGTAAAATTTGTTGCAGCATCTCAGCACAAAAGATAACGAAAGAAATCTTTGTCAGCGGGGATTTGTTGACAATTGAAGCGAGACTCGGACTTGAAGTGCACGCGCTACACTATGCAAATGACTACTTGTACGCGTCAGACGTTCCTTTCTAAAACTTTTGCAAACTCGCCAAACAAGCCGAAACAATAAGAAACCATCAAAAACAGGTTTTGGTCATGATTAAGCATTGTCTGAGAAACTCAAAAATTAACTCGATGTCAGAGTAGAGAGTTTTCTTGCTATATTTTAAGTCAGAACAAACGCAAAAGCATTACGCAAGCTTACAACTAGCGCAAGCAGATCTTATTTTCATTCACAGCGCGAAATTGAAGTGTTGTTTTCGATCCTGAAAAACTCACCTTTTCCGTTAGCTTAGAGCATAAAACTACATATAAGCGCCCTGGTTCTTAGTCCCGGCCTTATTCCCTGCCATCGCTGTGAAAAAATCCGCAAGAGAGTTACCATTTGATCACGCAACGTGACAACATCCACGCGAGAACCCACGACATGTGCGTGGGACCGCGCAGATAGATATCGTCAGGATGGCGTAATTTGTTGTAAAAATAGAAAAATTGTCCCATATCATAGGTGCGCGGGGATCCCAAGACTTATGTTCTTCGTCCCCGATTATGGCTCCTGGTAGCATTCGTGAACGGCAGAAATCGAAAAACAGTCGAAGTCTCGGCTGAACGGACAGACGATCTCAATTCCTGGGAAGCCAAATTTTCCAGTTTGACCGGCTTGACCGGTTTTCGTGCTAGCGCCGAAAATGTTATCCCTCTTGAACTTTCTGTAACTAATTTTAAATTACTATACCTTTTTCCTCGCCAAGGTAAACAGGATGCCAAACGTCACTATGGTGATGGCAATCCCTTTACCAAACAATGTCATCAGGTTCTTCAAAAACAATGCGTCATTCTCTGTGGTCATTTTATAGTTAAAGTAGATAGGAAGTGTTATTTCGTTGTCAAGGTAAACAATGAAACAATGTTGATTTGATGGAGAAGAAATAACAAAGTCATGCCGTTAGATTATAAAGTACCACTCATTTCCATCCCCGTGGCAAAAATGGCTTTCAAATGTCCCACCTTAGGACCCCTTAGGGTCATACTAGGCGATCAAATAGTCCTATCTCCAGCATGCAGACCATATGTGGCACAAAAGAGCAATGTTAAAGAAAAAAATCCCCGTCACTATGGCCTTCAAAATCCAAAACTAAAGAGCCACAAAAGTTTTCATCCTCATCAGGCATAAGAGGATCTAAATTTATATCAGGCTCGATTACCAGCCGCTGTTCGGGGATGGAGCCCGCGTCTCTTCTCGGGAAGGAACGTAGACCGGACTCGAGAAAGCGGCAGAAATCGAGCCTAAATTTATATCTGTTTTCAACTTTTCAGCTTAATAGCGTGCTTTGTTTGGAAACCAACGCGAAACCATGGAAACCAGACTTGTCTTATCAGGTGGTAAAGGGGGTCTTCTAGATAAGCCTGAAAACGCTTCTGAGACTTCCTGCTCAGGACTGATTGCACTGTAGTATGAGGTGTTGTAACAATGATGACCTTGCGCAAATAAAATAAATAGAGTTATGGCGGTGCGTGACATAAAGCTGCATAAAGCTTCGATCGCGTTTGTCGAAAAATATGCACTTATCTAGTGATGTTTAGCCTTTTCAGGAGTTTAAGTATTAGCAAGAGTGCTTCTGTAAATGTTTGGTGGTTCAGTTAAGTTCAGATAATCAATCGACTTCACAGCGAAAGTAAGTTTCAGATGTTTACACTATTTTCCGGCCACGGAGGTACACTATGGCAGCTCCATCAGTGGGGTCTGTAAATTTGAGCAAAACATTTCGACGAATCTCTGAAGTTTGGGAATACACATAGGGACCTAAAACTTGGAGAAGTTTTTTCTTTACTTTTCTCCTATAACATTACAATTTTTTGACTTTATCCACAGAATAGTTTCCGATGTATTTTTGTTTTGTTTTGTGACGTACAGTGATAACGATTTATTGTCAAGAGCCTTCACCTTTCTTTCGTAACTAGGTGTCACAAGGCCTTGTTGTCAGGACCTGGTGATTGTTTATTTAAAAATCTGAGCAGCACAGGAAAGTCAAAAACAAGTTTCAGAAATTAAAGGACATTTACTAACATGTTTCGGCAGAAAGTTCTACCTCAGTTCTTCAGTGCAAATATTACAGAAGATGCAAAATGAATCTGAATGGCTGAGTATGGGGATTACAAGGGTAGGCTTAGGGTTAAATTAACTTGTTCAAGTTGCTGATTAAGGGAAGGGTTTTCTCACAGGATGTGCAAAGCTCCTTTTATCTTGAGCTGGAATGTACAGCTGGCTTGATAAACTACATGATCATGAAAGCATTCGGCTGGAATTTGAGTCACGGTACTGAAACGGCCCAGAATAGACGAGTTCACGCTCTCAGTTGCATCATGGGTAACCAGGTCAAGATTGTAAAGAAACAAAGCGGCAAAAGATACGTTTTTCTTCCTATTTCTGCCCTGAGTTTCATATCCGAGAAGGAACTTTTACTGTAAATAGAGAAACCCCTTTTCTACGTTTACTAGCGTTTTTGAGTCGATTGAGCTAGGCATTAGCCTACTTATCAGAATATCAAAGATGTTATTTTTGTGGCTTGAGTAACTAAGACTTGATCAAATTATTCGGTTTTAACCGTAAAAAAAATTGCTACGCCCACAACAATCACTCGATCTGCTCAAAAAACGCTGGTAGACCTAGAAAAGGGGTTTCTCCATTTACATTATGTGATGTTTCGTCTCCAAATGTGAAATCAGAACGGAAACATGAAGAAAAACGTATCATGTTTACAGCTTTGCTTCTTTGTAAATTTGCCCTCAGTACCCATGATGCGCGCAACTAAGAGCGTTTACCGATGTGTGAGTCTTATCAGCAGTTAGGTGTTCACAGACACGCGTGGAAGTACGCGTAGTTTCAAGCTGGCATTACAGCCTGCACAAGAAAATCTATAAATACATGACCCCTGAACGAAGCCCACTCAAAAGTCGCTTTAGTGCGACCAAAATTGTCCTTTTATCTCTGAAACTTATTGCTTATTTAGCGTTAAATTATTGAATTGGTGTATTCTTCGTAAAGCACATGGCTTTCTTAAAAGGAGTGACTTACTCATTCTGTGGGCTCTATGAAGCCTACCGAAAAGCTACTAGGCTGATTAACGACAGAAATCTTATACATCAAATTTACCGAATCCAGAAAAAAAATTTTTTTTTTCCAAATAGAACATAATATATCAAGCGCAACTTGATCCAGATGGTGGAAGGGACATGGATGAAGTGGAAACTCTTATATACGACCATCCAGTTGAACCTTAATACCCGTCTGAACCTCCATACAAACTCTGTAAGTTACCCATTACGGTAAGCGGACATTCCCGTAACCGGTCGCGGACACTTTGAAGGCTTAGATTTAGACTTTTCCTTTGTTTTTAAGCTCCCATAAAGGGACACCCGAAAGGAATTGGATAAAATCAAAAAATATAATGTAATGCTTTTTGCAGTAAGAAGGTTCTCTCAATTCGATAAAATAGGGACATTTGGTGTCACATTACTTGACGGATTATCCTTCGCGATCGCATCCAAGATGGCGACTTCCATCGAGATACCTCTTCGGGATACAGAAGACGAGGTAGAGAATTCACTCGATTTCTTCATAAACAAATATTTTCTAGTTGAAGCTAAGAGTTTCGTTTCTTTTGTTAGGTGATAGAGCTTCAATTTGACCAGTTGCCGGAGGGCGATGAAGTACTGAGCATTTTACGACAGGAAAATGCACAACTACACATTTGGATCACGCTCGCGGTAACATAGCTAATTTTGAGTGAAACTGCTTATTGTCAACTATACTATCAGTGTCCTTCATCGACCAGCTTTCTCTTGTATTGCTGCTTTTCTTGCACTGAGAGTTTAGGAGAAGATCTAGACGCCGAAACGATGATTTTGCAACTAGAAAATGTAATAGCGTAGAGCTTACAATGTCTGCTTCATAGTTCTTGCATTCAAGAGTTCATTGGGCTTCGCTGGTTATAAAGAACGAAGGAAATCCAAACATAAGATTAGGGTTCGAATGGAGTTTTGATCTCTGAGCTTGCCAGTAAGTAAAGGATAAATCAATCAGTACATTCTGTGAAAGGGCACTGTTTGCTTTCTGTGTTGAGATCGCGATGAGCTGTATAAATTAAGAAATTGACAACACAACGCACGTGTTTGCATTTTGCTTACATAAAAACTAACAGTGATCGAAACAAAAATTTAAGTGTTTGTGCGAGCTGTGGATTGGGATTTACACTAGGGCTTTCTAGTGCTGGTAAACCTCCTTAGTGTTTGGTTCTGGCTGAACGTTATGTGACACATTTATATTCTGAAACTTATTTAAATGAGCTTACCTTAATTATCAACAGCTGCAGTATTACAAGCAGGGAAAAACAGATGATTTTGTTAAACTCCTGGAAGCTGGAAGAACAGGTAAGTGATGTTATGTAGCATAATCTATGTACGTTAAAATGCTCATGAAAGGTTAAGAGAATTCAGCTGTGGAAACATTTGCCTATGGCTTGACCTTGAAAAATTTGTCATTTTCCAAGACTCCCATTCATACTTCTACAAGTCGGCTGAAACTTGTGACGCGTTTCCCATTTCTTGGGTATTGTAGTCCCATCATCATCATCATCATCATCATCATCATCATCATCATCATCGTCGTTTTCGTCGTCGTCTTCACTGGCGTCATGGTTATTGATATAACCTTAAACTTTCAACTACATGTATATATGTAAAGTGGAACTTATAGCATAGATCAAAATTGACGAACCTGTAGTAAACCCAGAGGTCTGACTTCTCTCTGTTGTACTTGTCTATAGATGCCAATCGCAATTATCGTGACAGTGAAAAAGGGCAGATGGTCTGCCTGGACACACTTGCTGCATTCTATGTGCAGCAAGCACGAAAGGAGAGAAACAAGGAAACTAAAAAGGAACTGTTTACAAAGGTACAATGACATAAACAGTAATAATATTACTCAAACTGTGACATGCAAAGTAGGTGTGTGAAGTCATGGCAATTTCCTCTAAGTAGGTAAGTCTTTTTTCCGGTTTTGTTTCAATTAAAAGTGTATGTTTGTTCTCTCCTTTTAGTCAACCTCACTGTATTCCACGGCAGACAAGATTATCATGTATGATCAGGTACCTACATGTATTTAATATTTATGTTTGCATGATCAAATGTGATTTAGTCCTGGTTGATTTTTTTTAACTTAATCTACTGTAGCTTACATCTACAGTATAACGAGGTTTTGTGCTTACAACTTAGTTTGCACGCAACCTTTTGCAGCTAATTTCAGATTTCTGTCAGGAAACTGTTTTACGTATGTTCCAGTGAAGGATTGCTTGTTTATTAACTTGTCTATTTTTTGTAATTTTTTCTAGAATCACTTGCTAGGCAGGGCATACTTCTGTCTCCTTGAAGGAGATAAAATGGAACAGGCTGATGCACAGTTCAATTTTGTGTTGGCGCAGGTACCATAATATGTGTGTATTATTATTCAGAATTGCGATTTTGATAGTAATGTTAAATGACCCAATATTATTTTGAACTTCATCAGTTCTGAATTTTTTTTTGTTTTCCCCTGAGAATTCAAAACATCAGGGTTTGACTGTACTGAATTTTGTTAATCCTGCGTGGCCTCATCTAAACATGAGGAGGGTTTGGAGAATTTGAGACAGTTATGCAAATCTGAGACGCAGTCGAGGGTTGCATAACTTTTGATAATTCTCCCAACTCCCAAGTGTGTAGATGAGGCTACACTGTCTGTAAACACATGCGTGAATCTAAAATGTCACAACCGTGTATTCATACTCTCATCCAAACCTACCTATTGACCAATGAGAACTCGCGCAGTATTTCAGTTATTTTATAAAATACGTCAACACAAGTTTAAATTAATTTATGGTTTTTGCATTCTGAACAGTCAGGGAATAACATCCCAGCTTTGCTAGGTAAGTACATCTACTGCCTGCTCACTTAATTTGAATTATTAATAATTATTGCAAAGTGCAGTTCTTAATTTATTTGGTTAATATTAAATGGTTTCTGGTGAAGTTTCTGTTAAACAAGTTTTTGTTTGTTGTAGGAAAGGCCTGTATCTCATTTAACAAAAGGGATTACAAGGGTTCCCTAGCTTACTACAAGAAAGCTTTGAGAACAAATCCTAACTGTCCAGGTATGGCATACAGCAACTAGACAAGACTTAATTGAAGAAACAGACTTTGTTTTCTTTGTTTCTGGCAAGTGAAAGGCGCATGTCATAGATGTGAACCATTTTCTATTATTCCACAGCCTCTGTTCGGTTAGGAATGGGTCATTGTTTTGTGAAGCTTGGAAAACTGGACAAAGCAAGGTAGGGTGTTTGGTGGTTCCCAAGCTTACTAGGTGTTCAGTGGCAAAATTGTTGTTAGAATTTCTTACTAGAGTTTTTTAAATAGCTTAAGGGATATTATTAAAATAAGGAATTAACTAGGTTGCTTGAGGTTTTGATAAAAAAGTAAAGAAACTAGCTGTAAACATGCTCCATTTTCATTGCAACCCCTAGTTGGAAAGGCTTTCAGGGAAGGGGACACATTTGATGACTCAGATCCTTGGTCTCTTTATTTAGACAATGATTAATGACTGATCCACAATTTTTTCTTTACAATCAGTTTCAAGTGACTGCTGTGTTTGTCTCATTGCAGATTGGCATTTGAGCGTGCTCTCAGCCTTGATCACCTGTGTACAGGGGCAATGACAGGTCTTGCCATCCTGGAACTGAATTCGAAAAAGGCTAGCATAAATGAATATTGTTTATGTCATTAAAAATGTACCTGTTGACACTAATAGTGTGATGTGATTATTCAGCTGCAGTACTCATACCACTAGCACATGAGGTTTTGCAGTTTGTACCTCTGACGCTTCAGGAAATTCTAGATCAGCATCATCATACACTGTACTTTCTGTAAAAAAGCCTTTAGCTTCTGAAATCCTCCTCCCCTCAGAATTTGCAGTTACCTTCGTTAGAGTGGGTAGGGATATTTCCAGGAACTGCAGATTGTATGGCTTTCAGTAAGATTTGAAGTACAGTGTAGGTGTTTGTTTGTTTGTTTGTTTGTTTGTTTGTATTGCGCCATCGCCTGCGGCACACGCGCGTACATGCTGCGAGAATTTTTGCGGATGTCGCGCGGGGGAAATAGCGTCCGAAATTCCCGAAATTGTTCATGCTATCAGTGTGCTTTTGGCCCACAACTCAACACGTTTATGTTTGTTGGAATTTTGCTTAAGTATTTCGTCGTAAGCTGCTCCAGTTTGAGTGAACTAAGCCAGTCTCGAATTTAGGTATGCCCCGCTTTAAGCTTATATATATATCAGTGTCCAAGTTGTGTTCCGCTGCTTCTTTTTCAAGAGCTGTACATTACTCCGCTCTAAATTTCGCATGTGGTGAAGATTAACAGCTTTTCCATAACACAGCAAAAAACTAGCTGGATATATTTAGTAACTATAGTAGCGTTTCAGGACTTCAAAGTTTCCCTCCTCTTGCCTCGCGCTTGCGAGGAATTCGCCAGTCTATCACGACCGAAATGTAAAACAAAATAATTGCAAGTTTGAGTTTCGCCTGAATTGTAACAACGCTTGATGTTTCATCAAGGCCCAATAACTTTACGTCCGTAGATACTGCTCAGTTTTGTTGGTGTAAAAATCCAGTAAATTGTCTGTTGTCGATGAATAATAACAGCGCCCGCCGATGCGTGTTTAGTACAGTGAGTAAACACGACAAATTGTACTTCCGCCGCACTTTCGCGTGAAAACGTGCATCGAACTCACACAATGTCGCTATAGTTTTTAAATATGTTCAAGACTGATAAATATTTGAGAACATATTAAAATCTAAGCTGAAAATGATATGTCTATTTTATCGTCGCAGTGTAAAATTTCCCTGTGTTGAAGAAACACACATGATATTAGTAGCCTTTTTGCGTTCGTAAAATTTGTTGCAGCATCTCAGCACAAAAGATAACGAAAGAAATCTTTGTCAGCGGGGATTTGTTGACAATTGAAGCGAGACTCGGACTTGAAGTGCACGCGCTACACTATGCAAATGACTACTTGTACGCGTCAGACGTTCCTTTCTAAAACTTTTGCAAACTCGCCAAACAAGCCGAAACAATAAGAAACCATCAAAAACAGGTTTTGGTCATGATTAAGCATTGTCTGAGAAACTCAAAAATTAACTCGATGTCAGAGTAGAGAGTTTTCTTGCTATATTTTAAGTCAGAACAAACGCAAAAGCATTACGCAAGCTTACAACTAGCGCAAGCAGATCTTATTTTCATTCACAGCGCGAAATTGAAGTGTTGTTTTCGATCCTGAAAAACTCACCTTTTCCGTTAGCTTAGAGCATAAAACTACATATAAGCGCCCTGGTTCTTAGTCCCGGCCTTATTCCCTGCCATCGCTGTGAAAAAATCCGCAAGAGAGTTACCATTTGATCACGCAACGTGACAACATCCACGCGAGAACCCACGACATGTGCGTGGGACCGCGCAGATAGATATCGTCAGGATGGCGTAATTTGTTGTAAAAATAGAAAAATTGTCCCATATCATAGGTGCGCGGGGATCCCAAGACTTATGTTCTTCGTCCCCGATTATGGCTCCTGGTAGCATTCGTGAACGGCAGAAATCGAAAAACAGTCGAAGTCTCGGCTGAACGGACAGACGATCTCAATTCCTGGGAAGCCAAATTTTCCAGTTTGACCGGCTTGACCGGTTTTCGTGCTAGCGCCGAAAATGTTATCCCTCTTGAACTTTCTGTAACTAATTTTAAATTACTATACCTTTTTCCTCGCCAAGGTAAACAGGATGCCAAACGTCACTATGGTGATGGCAATCCCTTTACCAAACAATGTCATCAGGTTCTTCAAAAACAATGCGTCATTCTCTGTGGTCATTTTATAGTTAAAGTAGATAGGAAGTGTTATTTCGTTGTCAAGGTAAACAATGAAACAATGTTGATTTGATGGAGAAGAAATAACAAAGTCATGCCGTTAGATTATAAAGTACCACTCATTTCCATCCCCGTGGCAAAAATGGCTTTCAAATGTCCCACCTTAGGACCCCTTAGGGTCATACTAGGCGATCAAATAGTCCTATCTCCAGCATGCAGACCATATGTGGCACAAAAGAGCAATGTTAAAGAAAAAAATCCCCGTCACTATGGCCTTCAAAATCCAAAACTAAAGAGCCACAAAAGTTTTCATCCTCATCAGGCATAAGAGGATCTAAATTTATATCAGGCTCGATTACCAGCCGCTGTTCGGGGATGGAGCCCGCGTCTCTTCTCGGGAAGGAACGTAGACCGGACTCGAGAAAGCGGCAGAAATCGAGCCTAAATTTATATCTGTTTTCAACTTTTCAGCTTAATAGCGTGCTTTGTTTGGAAACCAACGCGAAACCATGGAAACCAGACTTGTCTTATCAGGTGGTAAAGGGGGTCTTCTAGATAAGCCTGAAAACGCTTCTGAGACTTCCTGCTCAGGACTGATTGCACTGTAGTATGAGGTGTTGTAACAATGATGACCTTGCGCAAATAAAATAAATAGAGTTATGGCGGTGCGTGACATAAAGCTGCATAAAGCTTCGATCGCGTTTGTCGAAAAATATGCACTTATCTAGTGATGTTTAGCCTTTTCAGGAGTTTAAGTATTAGCAAGAGTGCTTCTGTAAATGTTTGGTGGTTCAGTTAAGTTCAGATAATCAATCGACTTCACAGCGAAAGTAAGTTTCAGATGTTTACACTATTTTCCGGCCACGGAGGTACACTATGGCAGCTCCATCAGTGGGGTCTGTAAATTTGAGCAAAACATTTCGACGAATCTCTGAAGTTTGGGAATACACATAGGGACCTAAAACTTGGAGAAGTTTTTTCTTTACTTTTCTCCTATAACATTACAATTTTTTGACTTTATCCACAGAATAGTTTCCGATGTATTTTTGTTTTGTTTTGTGACGTACAGTGATAACGATTTATTGTCAAGAGCCTTCACCTTTCTTTCGTAACTAGGTGTCACAAGGCCTTGTTGTCAGGACCTGGTGATTGTTTATTTAAAAATCTGAGCAGCACAGGAAAGTCAAAAACAAGTTTCAGAAATTAAAGGACATTTACTAACATGTTTCGGCAGAAAGTTCTACCTCAGTTCTTCAGTGCAAATATTACAGAAGATGCAAAATGAATCTGAATGGCTGAGTATGGGGATTACAAGGGTAGGCTTAGGGTTAAATTAACTTGTTCAAGTTGCTGATTAAGGGAAGGGTTTTCTCACAGGATGTGCAAAGCTCCTTTTATCTTGAGCTGGAATGTACAGCTGGCTTGATAAACTACATGATCATGAAAGCATTCGGCTGGAATTTGAGTCACGGTACTGAAACGGCCCAGAATAGACGAGTTCACGCTCTCAGTTGCATCATGGGTAACCAGGTCAAGATTGTAAAGAAACAAAGCGGCAAAAGATACGTTTTTCTTCCTATTTCTGCCCTGAGTTTCATATCCGAGAAGGAACTTTTACTGTAAATAGAGAAACCCCTTTTCTACGTTTACTAGCGTTTTTGAGTCGATTGAGCTAGGCATTAGCCTACTTATCAGAATATCAAAGATGTTATTTTTGTGGCTTGAGTAACTAAGACTTGATCAAATTATTCGGTTTTAACCGTAAAAAAAATTGCTACGCCCACAACAATCACTCGATCTGCTCAAAAAACGCTGGTAGACCTAGAAAAGGGGTTTCTCCATTTACATTATGTGATGTTTCGTCTCCAAATGTGAAATCAGAACGGAAACATGAAGAAAAACGTATCATGTTTACAGCTTTGCTTCTTTGTAAATTTGCCCTCAGTACCCATGATGCGCGCAACTAAGAGCGTTTACCGATGTGTGAGTCTTATCAGCAGTTAGGTGTTCACAGACACGCGTGGAAGTACGCGTAGTTTCAAGCTGGCATTACAGCCTGCACAAGAAAATCTATAAATACATGACCCCTGAACGAAGCCCACTCAAAAGTCGCTTTAGTGCGACCAAAATTGTCCTTTTATCTCTGAAACTTATTGCTTATTTAGCGTTAAATTATTGAATTGGTGTATTCTTCGTAAAGCACATGGCTTTCTTAAAAGGAGTGACTTACTCATTCTGTGGGCTCTATGAAGCCTACCGAAAAGCTACTAGGCTGATTAACGACAGAAATCTTATACATCAAATTTACCGAATCCAGAAAAAAAATTTTTTTTTTCCAAATAGAACATAATATATCAAGCGCAACTTGATCCAGATGGTGGAAGGGACATGGATGAAGTGGAAACTCTTATATACGACCATCCAGTTGAACCTTAATACCCGTCTGAACCTCCATACAAACTCTGTAAGTTACCCATTACGGTAAGCGGACATTCCCGTAACCGGTCGCGGACACTTTGAAGGCTTAGATTTAGACTTTTCCTTTGTTTTTAAGCTCCCATAAAGGGACACCCGAAAGGAATTGGATAAAATCAAAAAATATAATGTAATGCTTTTTGCAGTAAGAAGGTTCTCTCAATTCGATAAAATAGGGACATTTGGTGTCACATTACTTGACGGATTATCCTTCGCGATCGCATCCAAGATGGCGACTTCCATCGAGATACCTCTTCGGGATACAGAAGACGAGGTAGAGAATTCACTCGATTTCTTCATAAACAAATATTTTCTAGTTGAAGCTAAGAGTTTCGTTTCTTTTGTTAGGTGATAGAGCTTCAATTTGACCAGTTGCCGGAGGGCGATGAAGTACTGAGCATTTTACGACAGGAAAATGCACAACTACACATTTGGATCACGCTCGCGGTAACATAGCTAATTTTGAGTGAAACTGCTTATTGTCAACTATACTATCAGTGTCCTTCATCGACCAGCTTTCTCTTGTATTGCTGCTTTTCTTGCACTGAGAGTTTAGGAGAAGATCTAGACGCCGAAACGATGATTTTGCAACTAGAAAATGTAATAGCGTAGAGCTTACAATGTCTGCTTCATAGTTCTTGCATTCAAGAGTTCATTGGGCTTCGCTGGTTATAAAGAACGAAGGAAATCCAAACATAAGATTAGGGTTCGAATGGAGTTTTGATCTCTGAGCTTGCCAGTAAGTAAAGGATAAATCAATCAGTACATTCTGTGAAAGGGCACTGTTTGCTTTCTGTGTTGAGATCGCGATGAGCTGTATAAATTAAGAAATTGACAACACAACGCACGTGTTTGCATTTTGCTTACATAAAAACTAACAGTGATCGAAACAAAAATTTAAGTGTTTGTGCGAGCTGTGGATTGGGATTTACACTAGGGCTTTCTAGTGCTGGTAAACCTCCTTAGTGTTTGGTTCTGGCTGAACGTTATGTGACACATTTATATTCTGAAACTTATTTAAATGAGCTTACCTTAATTATCAACAGCTGCAGTATTACAAGCAGGGAAAAACAGATGATTTTGTTAAACTCCTGGAAGCTGGAAGAACAGGTAAGTGATGTTATGTAGCATAATCTATGTACGTTAAAATGCTCATGAAAGGTTAAGAGAATTCAGCTGTGGAAACATTTGCCTATGGCTTGACCTTGAAAAATTTGTCATTTTCCAAGACTCCCATTCATACTTCTACAAGTCGGCTGAAACTTGTGACGCGTTTCCCATTTCTTGGGTATTGTAGTCCCATCATCATCATCATCATCATCATCATCATCATCGTCGTCGTTTTCGTCGTCGTCTTCACTGGCGTCATGGTTATTGATATAACCTTAAACTTTCAACTACATGTATATATGTAAAGTGGAACTTATAGCATAGATCAAAATTGACGAACCTGTAGTAAACCCAGAGGTCTGACTTCTCTCTGTTGTACTTGTCTATAGATGCCAATCGCAATTATCGTGACAGTGAAAAAGGGCAGATGGTCTGCCTGGACACACTTGCTGCATTCTATGTGCAGCAAGCACGAAAGGAGAGAAACAAGGAAACTAAAAAGGAACTGTTTACAAAGGTACAATGACATAAACAGTAATAATATTACTCAAACTGTGACATGCAAAGTAGGTGTGTGAAGTCATGGCAATTTCCTCTAAGTAGGTAAGTCTTTTTTCCGGTTTTGTTTCAATTAAAAGTGTATGTTTGTTCTCTCCTTTTAGTCAACCTCACTGTATTCCACGGCAGACAAGATTATCATGTATGATCAGGTACCTACATGTATTTAATATTTATGTTTGCATGATCAAATGTGATTTAGTCCTGGTTGATTTTTTTTAACTTAATCTACTGTAGCTTACATCTACAGTATAACGAGGTTTTGTGCTTACAACTTAGTTTGCACGCAACCTTTTGCAGCTAATTTCAGATTTCTGTCAGGAAACTGTTTTACGTATGTTCCAGTGAAGGATTGCTTGTTTATTAACTTGTCTATTTTTTGTAATTTTTTCTAGAATCACTTGCTAGGCAGGGCATACTTCTGTCTCCTTGAAGGAGATAAAATGGAACAGGCTGATGCACAGTTCAATTTTGTGTTGGCGCAGGTACCATAATATGTGTGTATTATTATTCAGAATTGCGATTTTGATAGTAATGTTAAATGACCCAATATTATTTTGAACTTCATCAGTTCTGAATTTTTTTTTGTTTTCCCCTGAGAATTCAAAACATCAGGGTTTGACTGTACTGAATTTTGTTAATCCTGCGTGGCCTCATCTAAACATGAGGAGGGTTTGGAGAATTTGAGACAGTTATGCAAATCTGAGACGCAGTCGAGGGTTGCATAACTTTTGATAATTCTCCCAACTCCCAAGTGTGTAGATGAGGCTACACTGTCTGTAAACACATGCGTGAATCTAAAATGTCACAACCGTGTATTCATACTCTCATCCAAACCTACCTATTGACCAATGAGAACTCGCGCAGTATTTCAGTTATTTTATAAAATACGTCAACACAAGTTTAAATTAATTTATGGTTTTTGCATTCTGAACAGTCAGGGAATAACATCCCAGCTTTGCTAGGTAAGTACATCTACTGCCTGCTCACTTAATTTGAATTATTAATAATTATTGCAAAGTGCAGTTCTTAATTTATTTGGTTAATATTAAATGGTTTCTGGTGAAGTTTCTGTTAAACAAGTTTTTGTTTGTTGTAGGAAAGGCCTGTATCTCATTTAACAAAAGGGATTACAAGGGTTCCCTAGCTTACTACAAGAAAGCTTTGAGAACAAATCCTAACTGTCCAGGTATGGCATACAGCAACTAGACAAGACTTAATTGAAGAAACAGACTTTGTTTTCTTTGTTTCTGGCAAGTGAAAGGCGCATGTCATAGATGTGAACCATTTTCTATTATTCCACAGCCTCTGTTCGGTTAGGAATGGGTCATTGTTTTGTGAAGCTTGGAAAACTGGACAAAGCAAGGTAGGGTGTTTGGTGGTTCCCAAGCTTACTAGGTGTTCAGTGGCAAAATTGTTGTTAGAATTTCTTACTAGAGTTTTTTAAATAGCTTAAGGGATATTATTAAAATAAGGAATTAACTAGGTTGCTTGAGGTTTTGATAAAAAAGTAAAGAAACTAGCTGTAAACATGCTCCATTTTCATTGCAACCCCTAGTTGGAAAGGCTTTCAGGGAAGGGGACACATTTGATGACTCAGATCCTTGGTCTCTTTATTTAGACAATGATTAATGACTGATCCACAATTTTTTCTTTACAATCAGTTTCAAGTGACTGCTGTGTTTGTCTCATTGCAGATTGGCATTTGAGCGTGCTCTCAGCCTTGATCACCTGTGTACAGGGGCAATGACAGGTCTTGCCATCCTGGAACTGAATTCGAAAAAGGCTAGCATAAATGAATATTGTTTATGTCATTAAAAATGTACCTGTTGACACTAATAGTGTGATGTGATTATTCAGCTGCAGTACTCATACCACTAGCACATGAGGTTTTGCAGTTTGTACCTCTGACGCTTCAGGAAATTCTAGATCAGCATCATCATACACTGTACTTTCTGTAAAAAAGCCTTTAGCTTCTGAAATCCTCCTCCCCTCAGAATTTGCAGTTACCTTCGTTAGAGTGGGTAGGGATATTTCCAGGAACTGCAGATTGTATGGCTTTCAGTAAGATTTGAAGTACAGTGTAGGTGTTTGTTTGTTTGTTTGTTTGTTTGTTTGTCTGTCAGTAAGCAAACAAACAAAGATCTCTGCCCTGGAACTGCACTCATCAGAGATCAATAAGAGAGACGCATGGCAACTTCCTCTACATGTAGAGAGTCAATTTTTGAAAATTGCTCAATACACTATATAGCAGGTGATTTAAAACAGAACACCTGCTGGAAGTCTGATGGGTGCATGATTTTATTGAAAGCAACTGCAATTTTTATCAGTATTTTCAAATGATTATCAATTAGTAGTAATAAGGAGATTTAAAAGTGACTTTATGAAATATCCATGTACATGAATGTCCCAGTCAAAGCTACCATGTAACTGAAGCATACAGTGACCAAGGCAAACACCTGTTGAAGGTACAGTGTAGGCAAATAGAGTACATGTAGAATGCCACTGTGGAGCTGGAGGGGGAGCATCTGAGGAAAGATTAGAGTAAACTGTCATATTGGGAAGCTTATGAGAGAGGGTTGCCCAATAGAGCTTTAACTGGATGTCATCATAAAATGTACTGCTTTTGTCGCTAGGTGGACTCAATTAAGATTGGTGTTCAGTTGCTATCCAGAGCATATGCGTTGGACAACTCTAATCCAATGGTTCTCAATCATCTGGCAAACCATTTCTTCTTCAAAAAGGTAAGAAATGCCTGTTACTGCATGCTTCCTTGTGTTGTTTCATAGCCGCAGTGTTATTTGCTGATGATGTTACTTCTCTTGCAGGAGTATGACAAAGTCCAGCACCTGGCCCTTCATGCCTTTCATGGCACTGAAGTTGAAGCCATGCAGGCAGAGAGCTGCTATCAGATGGCCAGAGCTTTTCATGTTCAGGTAGAAATATACATGTATATAAGCATTAATTTTTTTTCATGTTGTCAATACTGGAAAGCTCTTCTTTGTCCAGTCTCTCCCCCATGTACCACTCCTGTAAGTGGCCAAGACCTCTTGTAGGATTCACAAATTGGGTTTTAAGCTCTCACAAGCAGCCATCCTTAAAAGACTGATTACAGCCATTCAACTCTGCATACATGTATCTTTTCTTCCATTTGAAAAATAACTGCAATATTATTAAATAGAAAACTGGCTTTTATTAGCCTTTTAGAGTATTAATTGCCATTCCTCTTTGATGGGATTTCCTTGTTCTTCAATAATGTAGCTTTCATCCAGTATTTTTGACTGGTTTCTCCTACTATTCACTGGTACCCATTTACTCACCTGAGTGGAGACTAAGGTACCGTGAAAGTGGAGTGTCTTGCTGCAGAAAACATAACACAATGACCCCAGCCAGTCCTTAAACCAAGCTGAGCCCAGGACACAAACCATTAGGCCAACATGCTTCTGTTTAATTTGCAATTTTGTATAACATTATTTGGCAAATTTATTTTGTTACAGAATGATTATGACCAGGCATTCCAGTATTACTATCAAGCAACACAGTTTGCGTCACCAAATTTTATCCTTCCTCATTTTGGACTTGGTCAAATGTACATAGCGAGAGGTGACACAAACAATGTAAGTTAATTTACAAGAATATAAAGTTTTCATCTCAAACTACAATGTACAGTCAGGTATTGTAAGTGTGCTCCAAAGCTTTCTTTACCCAAGATGAAGGTCTTAAGTCTGTTGCAATGCTCTAGAATTGGAGAACCTGATACATGTTATTGTAAGTTCAATGGTGGTTATTTCTACAGCAGAAAGCGGCTAAGAACATGGGTTTCCTGCTACCGAACTTTTAGTTGGGTCCTCATGCCATAGTTACCTTACTTCTTCCCATTTACAGCTTCTTAAATATCATCTGCATTCCTTTACAAGAGGTTCGATTAGTCACAGCTCCAACATCAGCTTTTCAGCAATTCCTAACAGTTACTGTCACTTTTTGGTTTACCATATAAATGTGAAACATCACTGCTGTCAAATAAATGGAAAAGCATACAGTTCAGGTTTTCAATAGAGAAGTAACATTGCGTGATGATGCAAATAACGGCTGTAATGCTATAAAACCCAGCAATGTGATGCTATCCTATCTTAGGATCACCCACCTTTGTGTCATCTTGCCCCACGAGTTTTCTTGCAACCATTTCTGCAAATGGATAGAGGGTAGGGTTGGGGGCTACTGTAAGAGTAAAGAGTCTTCCTCAAAAATACAGCATAGCCTGCAAACAGGCTCCTGGCAAGGGCAGAAATAAAAAAACCGGCCCAAATTGGAATCTTATGCCAACCACTAACAATAAAACTCTGTACCAATCGTTTTCACTTCATCCACAGGCTGCTCAATGTTTCGAGAAAGTTCTGAAGGCCACACCTGGAAATTATGAGACTCTTAAAATCTTGGGCTCTTTGTACAGCACATCAACAGATCTAGACAAGAGAGAGACAGCCAAGGTGAACACTCAGTGAAGTGAAATTAAACTTATTACCTGAATGTTGGTGTTTTGCCTTACAACTTGCAGCATGGCCTTTGCCTGCAAGCAAATTGTATTGAAATAGGGGTGGAAGAAAGAGAGTTGCTGGCAGGCTAGTTTGATCTTTACAGATTGATTTGAGACGTAAGGATAATGTTTGATACAAGTCAAGAGTGAAACAACTCAGCTACGTGTAATGTAGAGGAAAATGAGCATAGAGTCAAGAACACGACATTATCACAGCAGCCTCTACTAACATTATAATCTATTTATTTTTACAGAATCATCTTAAGAAGGTAACAGAGCAGTACCCAGATGATGTCGAGGCCTGGATTGAGCTGGCAGGAATCTTAGAACAAACCGATGTGCAGGTGAGTTGAAACAGAGATATCAGTAGACAACTGATTTTTGTGTTGGGTGAATTGGAGAAGATGGAAGGTGAAATCTTTTGGAAGCAGTATATGCAGTAGATACATGTAGGAAGTTGCACAGTATCTGCAGAATTCAGCAATACTGTCATTTGACTACCACAACTACCGTAGTGGGGTTTTATATGGCAATTTTCCGGAAATGAAATGCGGGGTTTTCACTACGACATAAACACAAGCACGAGCATATGCAAAACTGTTGTGACAGCTCCCACAACACAAGCGTAAGAACATAAGGATGTGCAGAATGGATAATCGTATTATTTTTGGATCCATACCTCCTCAATACACTAACAGTAAAACAAGATGGCGGACTTATGCTTATCTCTATGCTTACAGCAGCGCGTTCTTACTTGACATGCGCAGAAGCACAAGTCCAAGAAGAACAAAACTCTTTTTCCTGCCTGTGCTTGTGTGTATGCTTGTGTTGTGGGCATTTTCGCTGCCATTATGCTTTTGCTTGAGCTTATGTCGTAGTGAACACCAGGTCAAAAATGGAAGGATTCTGTTAGCTGTAGTCAAATGATGCCATTGTGTAAACTGCCTGTTGAGCTATTAATCTACAAGACTGGTTTTCAAGTATGTAAGGATCTTGTGGTGACAACATATTAAGAAACAGTCAAGTAGTTAAACTTCTCCTGATATTACCAGGCTGCCTTGCAAGCATATGGTACAGCGTCCCGTCTTCTGAAGGAGAAAGTGAAGGCTGATGTTCCTCCAGAGATTCTGAACAACGTCGGAGCACTTCATTTCCGTTTGGGAAATTTGAATGAAGCAAAGGTAAGCTGTAACAATGTAAGATTTGCACTTCATTAGGGGTACTCTCTGGCACATTTTTCACGGCCACCCCGTTAATACGTTATTATGGTCATTTTATTCTGGCCCGAACAAAAGCTCAGTCAGTCATTTTATTATTTAAAGAACTCTATTAATACGTCCACCCTGTTAATACGGCCAGATTTTTGTGGCCCCGTCGGTGACCGGACTAACGGGGTTTAACTGTCGTTCTGACCGTATAGTTAAGTCGTTAATTCAACAAGTGCCAAACAGTTGAGTGAGGCGGAATTTTTGTCATTTACAGAGATTCTATGAGTCATCTCTTTCACGGTGCAAACAGGAGAGTCAAGCTGACGAAAGTTACTATAGTGCAATCTCTGTGACTACAACATACAACTTGTCCCGTCTTCACGAAGCCTTGTGTGAGTTTGACAAAGCAGAGGAGCTCTACAAGAACATCCTCAGAGAGCATCCTAACTATGTGGACTGTAAGTATGGCGGGTCTAAACCAGTTGATTCTTTGGGATTTTATTTTTATCATGTGGGTTTAGTTTTTTGCGAGTGTGGAACGCAAGATACCGCGCGAGTGAAGAGCAATAAAAAACAGCGAGCAAAAAGGACTGCCTGTGGTAAAACTAATTTGAAAAATCATGGTGCCAGGTTTTAAGATTAAATTTATCAGTTTGGCTTTTCTCTTGCCAGGTTATCTTAGGTTGGGTTGTATGGCACGTGACCGAGGTCAAATCTACGAGGCCTCTGATTGGTTTAAAGAGGCTCTGCAGATTAATCAGGTAAACTCAAGCTCCGGTAAACCTTCCCTGACGTTAATAATTTCTGTTTGTATAGCATAAATGCCGATAATTTAGCTGCGAATTAGAGCCAGAGGTAAGAGATTGTATATGTAATGAAAAAAAAATCTGTGGACGGTAGAGTCATGTTTTGTATCTTCATCAAGAGTCAGTTTAACGTTAAGGCCTGGCCAATGTAGCCAACATTTCTGCGCAAAACAACACAGCTATTATACAACCACTCACAAGCTAATGTGTCTGGTCCCTTATGTGGAAATGACGCATAGACGTGCATGTACTTAGTCCTTAGGAAAGCGTGGAATATAATCTTCCCTGTTTTGCATTAAACAGGACCATCCGGATGCTTGGTCCCTTATCGGCAACCTTCACCTGGCCAAACAAGAATGGGGCCCAGGCCAGAAGAAATTCGAGCGCATTTTGAAGCAGCCCTCTACAGCTAACGATGCATATTCATTACTAGCTCTTGGGAATGTGTGGCTTCAGACGTTACACACGCCAACACGAGATAAGGCAAAGGAAAAGAGACATCAAGATAGAGCTCTGGCTTTGTATAAACAAGTATTGAGATACGATCCAAGAAACCTGTATGCAGCCAATGGCATTGGTGAGTTATCTGTCAATTTATGTGAAGTACTATTGACATACCGCAAATTTCGCTAATAAGCCTTAGCCTTATGATAATTTGTTCAGAGTCTTTTTCGATGGGCTTATTTCTTCTCGTGTGTGGCATGAAGCGACTTGAAGTATTTCTACTGAAGGAATACCACTAGTCTATGGCAGGGCTACCCCCGCATTAAATTTGTCGCCACCCATTTATACACCTGTCTTGACAAAGAACACACAGCACAGCCAGGGCTCGAGCCTGTACTTCTCAATCCAGAAGTCCAGTGTACTAACCGTGCCTGCCATGCTCCTGCCTTACAAAGCAACTGTTTTTACATTTTCCAGGGTGCATTCTCGCACACAAGAACTTTTTGAGGGAAGCACGTGATGTATTTTCGCAGGTAATATGCAGTACAAAAACTTTAAAGATGAAAAAATTCGTAGCTCTTTTTTTTTCTGGTGAAAAGGCGTTGCATACTCACGCTTAACTCAGATGAATATTCACACCTATATTTATGACATATTTCAGGTCCGTGAAGCTACCGCTGACATCCCAGATGTGTGGCTCAATCTGGCACATATTTATGTTGAGCAAAAGCAGTATGTGGCAGCTATTCAGATGGTGAGAATTTCTTATCGATTTTGCCAAGTGTTGGAATAATGGCCTGCTTTCTAAAAATGTGCCGCTCGCGTTCAGAGGTGACGTGAATATATATTTTTTTTTCCTTGCAGTATGAGAATTGTTTGCGGAAGTTCTTCAAACATCACAATGTTGAGGTGTTACTGTACTTGGCACGAGCCTACTTCAAAGCTGGCAAAATGAAGGAATGTAAACAAGTGTTGCTCAAGGTGCGTTATTCCCGCGTTCCTGATCACAGTCAGCGTATTTCTTTGGTTTGAACTTATCATTCATTCGTGGAGATAGGTCTGCATAGGAGCCAAGTGGCCCATCAGGCCGGAGCTTATCCCGGTTTCTGTAGCATGAAGCGACTAGGAGTATTTCTACTCCCCCCTTGGATGGGATACTATTCCATCGCAGTTACCCCCAGCATTAAGTTCGCCGGTACCCATTTATACACCTGAGTGGAGAGAGGCACTGTGAGAGTAGAGTGTGTTGCCCAAGAACACAACACAATGTCCCTGGCCAGGTCTGTGGATGAAACCCTAGTGTGTGACCATTCAAATGAAAGCTATTGAGCTGTACTTTCTTGTGGTACTGTTTATTCTGTTGTAAAAGTTGGTTCTAACTTTTTAAGTCTGTGGACGAAACCCTAGTGTGTGACCATTCAAATTTCAGGTATTGAGCAGTACTTTCATGTGGTACTGTTTATTATGCAGTACAAGGCGGCTTTAACTTTAGTCTGTGGATGAAACCTTAGCGTGTGACCATTCAAATGAAAGCTATCGAGCAATTTTTTCATGTGGTACTGTTTATTATGCTGTACAAGGTGCTTCTAACTTTGAAGTCTTTGGGCGAACCTCTTGTATGTGGCCATTCAAATGAAACCTATTCAGATAAATTATAATTATTTAGATAAATTGAACAGCACAGTACTTCCATGTGGTATTCTTTGAATAGGGTGGTTTTCACTTTTGATTCATTTTTTTTGGTAAATCCTGCACTAACTTTATTTTATTTATCAACAGGCTCGTCATGTTTCGCCCAACGACACCATTCTGTTGTTCAACATTTCGCTGGTGCAGCAGCGCTTGGCAACAGCCATTTTGAAAGCTGAGAAGAGTCCTCTTAAGGTTGTGCTTGGCGCAGTCAGAGAACTGGAGCAGGCGCAGAGGTGAATGATAGCTACCTTAAGTTCATGTTGCTAAGGGAAAAATTTTTGTGTGTGATTTGCTGTTTTTATTGTTTACCTCATCTTGTTACATCTACGCCATTTACTACTGGTACACACATGGAGTATTTTCTTAACTAAGAATGCGAAGACGTACGATGCATTTCGCCATAATTGGATTTAACTTTAAAATGTATTTTCAGGAATTTTACGTGGTTAAGTCAATATGGAGACCGCCTGAAGTTTGACTTGAGCTGGGCAGCGACTGAGGCCAGGTAATATAAGACTGTTTGTTCTTTGTTGAATTTAGACTTTTGCTTTTAGTGTGTAAACCAACCAACTTCACGCAGGCACACCAATATATATTTAAACTTACAAGCGAACTGCACAGCTTGCACAGGCACACCAGTATATTATTGACTTTACAAGTGAATTTCATTTGTGCACAGGCACACCAGTGATTTGCTGAGCCAGGCTCAGTACCATGTGGCGCGCGCTCGGAAAGTTGACGAAGAAGAACAGGAAGTGAGGCGAAAACAAGAAGCGGAAAAAGAAGCACTTAGGAAGAAAAGAGAAGAAGAGGAGGTAAGATTAACATCTAGAATCTCCTTACAAGTTTAATTCATTGTTAGGAAAACAGGTGATAGGAATAAATAGAACCATTAGCTGATGCGTGTTCACTGTTGTCTTGATCTACCACAAAGTTTACATCATTGGGGCAGAAAAAGGGTTAATGGTAAAGGGGACAGTCTTTTTCTTTCCTATTATATATAAAGGGACTAGTATAGCTGGTTTTCTTAACACGAGGAGCCTTGGAGTCGACCCAAAGGCAAATCCTAGTTTTTTTGGCAGGCTGCGACAACAATTAGCCGGTACTTATGTATACACCTGGATGAAGAGGGGTAGTGGGGGAATAAAGTGTCTTAACCAAGATTACAACACTACGGCCAAGGTTGAATTCAGTCCTCTTCGTTACCCAAAGGATAAGCATACACTGGAAGCTGAGAAATACTCTTGAATGTCAGTCACCGACACATTGGTCATTTTAGTAGCTCGCTTACAAATGAACTCAGTGAAACTTGCAATGCAATTGACTGCAGCGTCTTATTTCCTAAGTAAAAACTCTTGTTTGGCCAGAACTAATCCTGTCACTAGTTTAAAAGTGATTTTTCCCAGTTGAAAGTGAAAAATACTCAATGTGAAATCATAATATTGATACTTTCGTAGAAAACGCGAAGAGAACAACGTGAACAGCAGGAAAAAGAACTTCTTGAGAAACGTCAACAATTCAAGGAAGCCACCAAGAACCTGCTGGTGTTTGCACCTGAAGAACAAGCCCCCAAGGAAAAGGCTTCCAAAGGAAGAAAGGTAATGCTTTTTTGGCAGTTCAAAGTTCATTTTTTTTACTTTTACAGATAGGCTGTCCGTTAGCCAGTTACTCAAGTTTTTTTGAATTACTCTGTGCCATCTCTCTGCTGGCTTTTTCTAACCTTCTCAGGTATTGAAAGGTTAAATTGATGACCGTGTATTTTTTTGCCATTTTCATATTTCTTCTCAGCGAAACAGATTTAAAGCAAACGATCGCACGTTTTTTTTTTTTTTTTGAAATTTTTATGTTTCTTTCCCAAACCTTTCAGGCGTTATAATGTTCCAATACACATAAATCGCTCATGCCCTTGGCAGCGAAGCTGTTGTGCTTTCAATCTCGTGTAAGTCGTTTTTCATTTTTTACAAATCTTTTCAAATATTTTAACATCTGTGTTTCTGTTTCGTGTCTGTGTAGAAAAAGACGGCGGATGATTTTGTGGCGAGTAACGACGAAGAAAGTGAAGATGAAGGAGAAGCGGGTGTAGACGAGGAAGGAAATGAAATAAAGAAACCGAAAGTCAAGAAGGCGAAAAAACGGTGGGTAAAAAAGAAGAGTGGTTTTCAATTGCCTGCTGTGAATTGACTGACTGGGCGAACGACTGAACGGCTGAACAACCGAACGACCGAACGAACGACTGACCAAAGGACCGAACAACCGAACGAACAACTGACCAAACGACCGAACGAGCGACCGACTGAACGACCGAACGACCGAACAACCGAACGAACGACTGACCAAACGACCGAAGGGCCGAACAACCGAACAAACGACTGACGAAACGACTGACTGCTTGTTTGATCAAGTCACAAACTTTTTGAACAAATGACAGATCTTCTTAGAAGAGCCAAGTGAGAGTTATCTCTTAAAAATTTGCATTTTGCAGGCGAAGAAAACGAATTAGAGATGAAGGAGACGAAAATGCGCCGAAGAAAAAGAGGTTTGTGATTTACTTTCTACAATTGTTTAAAACTTGCACTCCTTTTCAGTTCGTACTATTGTTACATTTGTTTTCGACCTTTCTAGATCATTATGTATAGGTTTCAGTAGGTCTTAGCAGCAATTTCTGGTCGTCTTTTCACAGAAGTCGTAAACCGAAAGGTGAGCCCAAAGAGAAGAAATCTGGAGACGAAAGATTGGGAGCCAAACAAAGACGGAAAATCAAGTCAAAGGCGTTCGTGTCCTCATCTGAAGATTCGGACTCTGACACAGAGAAGCTCAAGATTGCTGATGTGTAAGTAATATTTCAAACACGAAAGACCGTGTTTAACCACATTTCCAAACACCGAGAAGAGAATTGAAAATACGACGCCTACAGCGGAGTATTTTTGACGAACTTCGAGGTGTTTGGAAATGTGATCAAACACTGTCTTGAATGTTTGATATATGTTTTCAATCGAAACTAGAACTAAGAAGAAAAAGGAGAAATAAAATCGTTAAAAAATCTATGCTAAATACAGTAAGATCAGATATCCAAGCAACGGTCATGGTTTCCATTGAATAAATTATTGAGTTTGGAATGAAAATAACGCAAGTGCTCAATTTCTTTAGCCCTCCAGTTTTCAATACGACTCCTCTAAAGTTTACTTTTGCGTATGAATGATCTGGCGTTACCGTTGAGGGGTTCATAACTTCACTCTGGTGCTGTGTTGAAACGGATGTGATGGCTTACCTTGTCAATGAAGGAGTGTTGGTACAAACCGCTGCCCAATGAATTTACTGGCGGCTAGTTAAGGCCCGACTATCAAACCCCTCAGTGGCGATTAGCATGTTCACTTCAGTCACTAGAACGAAAAATCTTTCACGAGTGGTTCTATCGAGTTTTAGTATGAATCTACTAGTTTTCTATCACGAATGTCGTCCTTTTATTGACTACCCTACCCTACTAACTATCTATTCTGTTGTAGATAGTGAGTAGCGTAGCAGTGTGCGCCGGCTTGTTAACTAAATGGCGACCGCTTCTTTGCGCTATCGAAGAGTTTGTGAAGAGGATTTAGATGAGGTTTTGAACGACTGGTAGATTTATACTAAAACAATTAGATTATTCACTCTCGATTTCTATGCGTGATAGTTGACTCGGGGTGCACGCTCGTCAACTATCACGCGATAGAAATCGGGAGCGAATAATCTAAGTGTTAGAATTACAGAAGTGCAGCTTTTATCACACGCTTTCGTACAAGGTATTTTGTAACTATATACAAGTTGGAAAGCATGCACTTTCCTTACGCTTTGGAAATTAAATGAAAATGTGACTGTGAGAACGCTAAAATGCGGCACGATGGTTCGCCTGACAATTGTAGTTGTACAATTTACGTGAATTCAGTTATTTGACTCAATTTTACTCTCTCTTAGGGGTAGTGATGAAGACATCAGTGACAAATCGGAGGCTGAGAACAGCGACAAGGAGGAAAACGTCAATGAAGAAGAGAAAGAAGACAGTAGTGAGGGGCAAGAAGAGAAACCTCAGACTGGAAGGAAAAGAATTCTGTCGAGTGATGACGATGATGATAGCCTCGATGAAGATATCGAGGACGGTGACGACAAAGCCGGCGACGAGGAACAACCGTCAACGAGTCAGGGCACGCCAAAGAAGAAAAGCAGAAAACTTGTTAGCTCGTAAGTGGAAATGTTTCATGATCATGACTTAATTTCCGCGTTTCTACAGTTCTCTCTTACATTGTCAAGTCACTGCGGTGGCTAGGCTCTGGAGTCTGCATCGAGCGGTTCGGGATCAAGCGCTGACCGGGGAGTTCTTGAGCAAGTCACTTTTACTTTCAGTGCCTCTCTCCACACACAATCCATTTTCAGTATTAGGCTCTGTCCTCGCTACGCGGGAGAAATCCGTAAACGGAGGTTTCACTCCGAAAACGTATCAAATGTTTTTTTTTTCGGCACTAGGCCGGAGAAATTTGAAAACGCAACGATTACCGCCGACAGAAAAGTTTGAGTACACCCTTGAGGGTTAGGGTTAATCACATGATGATCAAGACGTCATCTTTTTCGACAACCTTCGTTTTCAAAATGTTTTCCGTCCCCATTAAAACGCAAAGCCACTGTTTTCAAATTCCTTCGGTTTGAAGAGCGTTTTCGAAAAGCTCCGTTTTCTTGACGGATTAGTGTGGATGGTAGGCCTAACAGTAGAAATAAAGCTGCGTTTTCAAATTTTGGTATAGTGTGGACGAGGTCTCAATCAGTCGTTTTGAACGTTGGCAGTTAAACTTCTACGTCGCTCGAGGCAGGAGCAAGAATGAGTAGTGGTGGATTGTTGGGAAAGCTTGACAAAATGTTAGACATAACCTGCGCTGGCCTAGCATCCCTTGCTGTTTGCTTTATCCTTCAAAAACCGGAGTTAAGCCTTGAATTCCTTGATCCCTACAGTTGGGTCATTACCTTGTCATTTGAGTTTTCTTTAAGTTGTAAAATTGTGACACAGCGGTTTTTTTCTACAGGTCCGAATCAGAGGACGATGACTAGATCAAAGTTTCCCTGTCCTGTGCCGTCATTTTCACATGGAATTATTCCTGTAGCAAAATACTTGTATAGACCGGCTAATCACGAAATGTAGGACCAAACAGAAACCGAAACGTGCAGTCTGCCGTCAGTAGACACCCTACCCCTACCCCACCCCACCCCACCCGGCAAACCCTGCCCCTCCCACCCCATCCCCATACACAGTACACAAAGATTACCAACAGGCTGTTTGTTGTCATCTTTGAAAAGTGTTAACGGAGTGCAACTAATGAAAAATACAGGAAAACGCGCACGCGCACGCGCAGAGCTCCAAACCCCTATCGTGGAGAGTTATCTGAAGTTGACATCTTGTCGTTTGGCAACATCCGGGATTGAATACTGCGGGCTCAGTCAGACCAGAAACCAAAAAATGGTGAAGAACATTCTTTTCCTAAAGCCCATTCTATTTTAGTAGTTACTACCCCTTCAGTGTCTCACACAGTGTTTTTGCTGCTTTACACATTCAAATAGGGTTTATGTACATAGTCCACAATGGAAGCTTAAATAAACGATTTTCTTCACTTGTAATCTTGGGTGCCATCTGTTCTCTTGCACTCCTGGCAATCTCACTTTCGGGCTCTTGGATCTGCATACTGTTGCTGATTTGTCAAAGATAGTAATCAGAGGGACTTCTCAAGAAATAGAATATCTCTCATAGTTTGGACAAAAGTTCATGCTTGGTCAAATGTCGCTATAGAATTTTGTTAACTAGTTACCAGGCCCTCATTTTTTCTACCTTGGAGCTCAAGAGAGAAGAACGTGGGATTGAAATTTGATAAAGGTGGGAAGGAGATAGCCTGTGCACATCTGCCCCCTCCCCTCAAAAATCTCCCTGATTGGAGGAGAGGGGGGCAGATGTACACAGGATGTGATTTTTTTTCTTTTTTCACCCAAAATAAGAGGAGGGTGGGCCCCCAGGGCCCCTCCCTTTGATCAACCACTGAGGACAGAGACAGATTTGTTTTCTTAGGTGTCAAGTTGAGGGGTTTAACCTCATAAGAACGAGTGTCCATCTGCAACGAAAAGAGGAAACGCTCAGTGCTTTTTGCGTGTTTTTAGCAACATCTGAAGAAATCATTTCTATTAAATATGATTTCCGGTCCATACTGCACACTCTCGAGAATTTGTTTGCATTTTTTGTTTCATGTAAAACATCACAAAATGTAAACATTTTGCAACTACTTACATGAGGTTAATTCAAAGTTTCAAAACAACCGTTATTATGGGTGCGAAGCAGTCAAAGTTTTAAGCTTTGTTCTTTCTCATATCACTTGATGAAACAACTTCGAAGCTGTAAAAATCAATGAAGCTGTTGGAAAAAAAAGTTTGAAAGGCCTCAAAAGGTAAGGTATGTGGTTCGTAACAAATAGCATCAATTCACATTCCATCAAGTGAGATTTATAATATTTACAAATATTAGGTGCTGAGATTGTGCAGTACGGACTGAAAATCATCTTTAAGCAGGAGGGAAGAAAACATTGTTTTATTTCCTTCATTGTTGATTATTGAAAAAAGAAAAATGTCAAGGGGACAAATGATATAATTTTGTAGTAATTTTCTTTTCCAATATTCTCTTGCTAACTTTGGATCCCTGATAGCAGCCCTCCTCAGAAAACAAAAATGCAGTCTGAACCATGGTTCAGGATTTTTCTTCTTTGCATGTTTTAATTTACATTACATCAAAAGAGGTTTGTTATATATCAGGTCTGTATCAGGTGGTAATTTGTCATCTACTGACAGTGTTAAAATGCAATCAAAGTAATAGCAACCAGGTGCCAGTTGTTCAAAGTCATTTTCAAAATGTTACTCTTCCCTGCACCTTACATGGGAATCACACCTTTGCGTCACTTACGCAAATAGAAAAGATACAATGAAGTGAATCCCAACACTCCTTTTAATGCAAATAGCTATTTACAGGTAATAAAGCTTGGTATCACCAGTATATAAATATTCATGTCTTTAGTCCACAAGACCGTATTTGCATTCAATTATATATTACAACATCACGTCATATATTGCATTAAAATAAAATACATACAGTAAACACCCGCATATAAGAACACATGGATTAAGAACATCAGGCTGAAATTTGGCAAATAAAGCACCACTTTTATAAGAACAATATCAGCCTGGNTTCAAATCCCAAGGCTACACCAGTATAATTTTATACAGTATTCTATACTCTGTATTTAAAAGATTTTCAATTAAACAAATAATTTTCATGCTGTTTCTCAGAAATTTCACAATTTCTATCAATTAAAATCCAGTATTTTGGCTACAAAATAAGAGTGTTTTTTTGTATAAGAACCTATTGTTCTTTGCCAGCCTAAATAGGTTCTTATATATTTGGGTATTAAAATGCCCAATTTCAGCCTGTAGGTTCTTAAATCACTAGGTTCTTATACGCGGGTGTTTACTGTATTGCTGAACATTATTTTTTTACTTTTCCTTTCCATTTTGATAGACAGCTGAGCAATACTTTACACTGAAATATATGTGTTATACAATTCAGTCAAACCTCTCCTTTCAGACAATTCCATAACATGGACACCACTTCGGCTCAGAGAAACCAGGATTGATATGCATGTAATCTGTCCCTCCACAATACGGCCACCTCCATAGTAAGGACACTCAGATCTACCTCTTTGGTGTCCATCTTTAAGAGGTTCAACTACAGTAAACACCCGCATATAAGAACACATGGATTAAGAACATCAGGCTGAAATTTGGCAAATAAAGCACCACTTTTATAAGAACAATATCAGCCTGGAAAAAAAAATAATGTTCTTATAAAATGGGAAGGGTGTCA